AAAAAATCAGCCGGGCGTGGTAGCGCATACCTGTAATTCTGGCTACTCAGAAGGCTGAGGCGGGAGGATCGCCGGAGCCCAGCAGGTTGAGGTTGAGGTGGCCGGAAGTGGCCACTGCACTCCAGTCTGGGCGACAGAGTGAGATTCCAACTCAAAAAAAAAAAAAAAAAAATACCGTCTCTTTATATAAACAAAGCAACATTAACTCCCAAAGGTAAAATAACTAAAAAATATAGGTTTTCAGTCTATGAAGAGATGAAGGAATAAACGAAATGTGGTACATCCATACAGTGGACTGCTCTTCAGTCATAAAAAGGAATGAAACACTAGCACGTGCTGTAATGCAGATGAACCCTGAAAAAACATGCCAAGTGAAAGAAGTCGGACAAAAAAGGCCACACATGTCACGGCTCTATTTACATGAATTGCTCAAAGCAGGCAAATTTGTTGAAACAGAAAGATCAATGGCTTCCAGGAGCTAGGGAGGAGGACAGGGAAGTCTGACACTTTCATGCCATGGAGTTTCTGTTTGAGGTGATCAGAATGTTCTGGAACTACCTAGAGGTGATGAAAGCACGATGTTGTGAATGTGCTAAATGCCACTAAGTTGTCACTTTATTTTTTTTATTTTTATTTTTTTGAGTTGGAGTCTCACTCAGTCGCCCAGACTGGAGTGCAGTGGCTGCTCCCGGCCACCGCAGCCTCGACCTGCTGGGCTCCGGCGATCCTTCTGCCTCAGCCTTCCAAGTAGCTGGAACTACAGATGCATGCTACCACGCCCGGCTAATTTTTGATTTATTGTGGAGATGAGGTCTCGCCAAGTTGCCCAGGCGGGTCTTGAACCCGTGGGCTCAGGCAATTCACTCACCTCAGCCTCCCAAAGTGCGAGATTATACAGGCTGAATCAATGAACCGGCTAAGTCGTTACTTTAAACTGTTCATTCTGTTATGTTAATTTTGCCTCAACATATACTTTGTATGCTTAGTTTTCACAGAATATTTTGCGTCTCACCAGGCCCCTGTGTCGTTTTCTTCTCTTCTACCCAGTTGTAGTAGGCAGAGTAGTCCCCGTTGTTGGGGAGGCTGATCCAAGGCCCTGTGATGCTGATGCTGGTGTCTCCGTTGTGGTCATCGCAGACCCATCGTCCAGAGAGGTACGTTGTCCTGCGGGCTTCAGCAAGCTTGCTCACAGTGCTGGAGGTCATGGCACTGTCACTCTCTGAGGACACGTCCGCAGGGTCTCTAAGATCAGGAGACACATTAACACATTACACATTTCATGAGACTGGTCTTTTAAGGGAATGCAGGATTTGCAAGACGTGTCAGAACATCAAAAGGATGCACAAGAGCACAGGAACTGGAATGGACAGAGAAGAAATTGCTATCAGAGATGCAGAGCAAACTAGCTGTGGCATGGAAGCCCACACACATGTGAGGACGATGGTACCATGAGCAAGAGCATCGGACCTCAAATGATCTGGCCTCAATACCCCTTTACAACACTTAGAACATTTTGGGGATTCCAAAGAACTTTTGCTTGTATCAGTTAGATTACTAATATTTACTGAATTTGAAATTAAAACTGATGGCCAGGCGTGGTGGCTCACACATGTAATCTGAGCACCTTGGGTGGTCGGGGCAAGAGGACTGTTTGAGCCCGGGAGTTCAAGAGCAGCCTGGGCTCAAGCAAGACCTCTTCTCCACCAAACAAGCAAACAAACAAGAAAAACTGAGAAAAATATAAATTATTAATTCATTCAAAAACAATGAATGTTAACATAGATTTATGAAAAAATCTATTTTTCAAAACAAAAAATTAGTAAAGAGTGACACGATTTTATATTTTAAAGCATCTTTTTTCTTTTTTTTTTTTTTTGAGTTAGAGTCTCACTCTGTCACCTAGACTGGAGTGCAGTGGCCGCTCCCGGCCACGGCAGCCTCAACCTGCTGGGCTCCGGTGATCCTTCCACCTCAGCCTTCTGAGTAGCTGGAACTACAGGTGCACGCTACCACACCCAGCTCATTTTTGATTTATTGTAGAGATGAAGTCTCACCAAATTGCCCAGGCGGGTCTGGAACCCTCGGGCTCAGGCAATCCACTCACCTCAGCCTCCCAAAGGCGCGGGATTACAGGCTGAGCCACTGAGCCAGTAAACATCTCTTTCATATGCAGATCTTTCAACTGTTGCTTTCTTTTCTTTTCTTTTTTTTTTTAGTTGGAGTCTCACTCTGTCGCCCAGACTGAAGTGCAGTGGCCGCTCCTGGCCACCGAAGCCTCGACCTACCGGGCTCTGGGGATCCTTCTGCCTCAGCCTTCCAAGTTGCCGGAATTACAGGCATGCGCTACCATGCCCAGCTGATTTTTTGATTTATTGTAGAGATGAGATCTCGCTGCCCATCAAGTGAAAATAGTGTCCCATTAAAAAAAGCAGCTAGTTCAGCAACTCAATCACTCAAGAGCATTTCTTCAAGCCTGCCATACTACGGGGTCTGCCGCAAAATGCTCTGCATACGCTTCCCATCTTGGCATACGATGCAGTGAGCCTTCCGTCCCCACGGGCTCGCATCTGCAGATCCACCAACTGCAGTGGGGTAGACCCAAAAATATCCGAGGGAGGAAACCAATACCACCATCAAAAACACAAATAAAAACTACAGTAGAACAACTACACACAGCGTTCACAATGTCAGGTAGTATAAGCAATCTAGAGATTATTTAAAGAACGTGTGTGGGTTATATGAAATATGCCATTTTATACAA